TATCACATCATATCATATCATATTATATAATAAATGAGTAGAATGTCAACAATAATGTTGCCAATTCGGGATTCATTCTTAATTTGCGCAAGTTATAATATTTTATGAAGGCCCTCGGATAAAATGGCAACACAGAGTTACCGGTAAATACCAAATGCAACTTATACATATCACTTTAAGGCTCAGTAAGTATTAAAATTACTAATCATTAAGACAATCCCATATCAAATATAACTCATTAATGTCCTCCTCCTATTTTAGATTATTTATTACATTGAAAGTTAAATATTAAAAGATTTTCTCTAATAAAACTAATTGTTTTTTTTTTACCAATGTCTTACGCCCTTTTCCCCTGTGATTATCGTGTCGTTTATCGACTGGAGTTCCCTTTCAAGAACAGAAAGAAGAAAGAAGTGTATTGCATTGGTCTAAAGTGCTATGATCATCATATCAGTCGCAGAGAAGAAGAATAATAAAAATAATGACATTTTGTAGTTGGACATGGATAAAAATATGCACGTGGCTTGGCATGTGACCATGATAGTGCATGCACAATGGCGTAGGTAGGTACGTATGATGTATGATACACGAATAAAAAATCTAAAAATCTGAATTATTTTGGCATGACCCTCATGTTCCATGGTGTTTGGTGTCAGGGTTTGTATCACATCAACCCATAGCAGTCCTCTGATGGACATAGGCCTCCGCCACGGTTCTCCACAAGGCACGATCTCTCGTTTTCGCCATCCAGTCGCTACAAGCCGCTCTCTTTAACAATTTTCTCTTTTTGATTTTAAGATTTGTATTACTTATTTATTTTAGTTATGTATTAATAAAAAAAAAATGATTATTTTGTGTAATTTATTTATAGATAACAATAGTTTAGACGTATAATTTAAACGAAAACCATCATCTATGTAATGTGCATAACAAACATTATGGAAATAATTGCGACAATTAAAAATATCTATAAATATTACTTAATTGCTATTGAATCACGTTCTTAACTGAATTTATTGGTATAATAAACTTTATATCACTATCGATATTAAAATCACTACAATTGAAAGTTTTATTATTACATACACACCTACATCCCTTGTGGGATAGGCAAACAGCTGTAGAAAACGGCCATTTATACCACATCTGACAAGTTTTTTATTATGTTAGTAAAAATACTGCATTTCCTAAAAGGTTTGAAATAGCCCGTAAAACGTGTAAATCTGACCAACTTTCCCCAAGAACCATTATCTCAAAATACTATAATAATGAATGATCACACCAAGATCACACAGACAAGAAGTATTTTAATGAAACTAGACTAAGATAGTGTACAAATAAAAATGTTCCCGTATGTTTCTTGGTGAAAGTAGTTCAGTTTCGTATGCATCCCTCCTAAATAGATCACAGTATCTATCTACTTTTATTAACATCTGCTTAAATTAGATAGGTAAGCATTTGCAAATAAGTCTCTATGCATTTTATTAATATTAATAAATAAAATACCTATGCTCGGCGCTTGAAAAAACCAGTTGTGGTTCATGTCATGAGTGCCAAGCAACATAATTGTAAACTTTTTATAATCAATAAATAAAATACAATAACTAAATTCAATACTGGTATAATAATTTCGTAACAGAACACTTAGTATTAATTACTTATAATCACCAGACTAGGAAGAACACGCAAATTTATTGAAGCAATATAAATTAAAAAATCTTATTGTGTGCATTAAAATGTGCTTGTAAAAAAGCTATAAAAAAAACATAGTAAGGATAATTTCTAAGGGAGCTATCCTTATTTATTATCCAACTGCTGCACTATTTGATTTGATACTACTTTAGTAGCTAAAGAAGCATTTGGAATGAGAAAACGATCCATATCCTTAATCAACAAATTATCACCATCTGGAATACCGTACTTAAACGTAATTAACTCGGGGTGCCTCTTTTTGGCCGTTATTTTTACTATTGTAGACAAAAGCCTCCGCGACATGACTTTAGCATAGCCTTTTTTATTTGGAATGTCTCTTAGAACCACTAAATGCGTTTCTGTAACTATGAGTTGAGAATCGTGCATATAACCGTTAAGTAAAACTTCCTGGCATTGAAAGCTGTCGATCACATTACGTTCCTTGAGGAATGAACTGATCTCGACCACTTCTTCCAACGAATCTGAATCAGTAGCGTCCCGTCGGCTGGTCGTATCGTCTTCCTCATCATTAATACTAAATACAGGCGGCACATTCCTATACCTCTGATCTTTCCGATCCCCAGCAGAAACATGCCACTCTCCACTATTAACATTAGAATTCGGATTCACAATGTATTCTATTAGTTTCCCTTTCACTTCTTGGCTCTTTGCCTTCATTGCTGAAGACAGTTTGCTAAAAAGTTGTATAGCAGGGACATTGTCTCTGACTTTCGTTTGTTGTACTTCTACCCTATCGTTGTTATTGTTAGGAGCACAAACTAGACACGTTGATGGATTATGCTCTTCCAAACAGTCGGTCATGTGTGGCCCAAAGTAATCATGGATAGCTACAAATCCGCCATCTAGCATGGACACGTGTTTTGTGTTCCTTTTCAAGAAGGAAGCTACGACCATGTGCGCGTAACTGTCCTCTTCTGTTCGGCCTGAACCAACAAAGCACAGGTGCTCTCCAGCCGCGAGTGAGCCCGCGGCCAGGGCGTGACGCTGCGCATTCAACAGCCCCTGAACAGCTGTGTTGAAAGCATTAGGCTCTTGCAACATCAAATTGCAATCTAAATGAAAAGCAGTTGACAAATGCCCAGCATTGTACTGTTCAGCTGGGCGACAGTCGACTAGGAAGAACTTGACATTGTCTGCATCAGAACTATCAACTGTAGCACTCTCAATGAGCTCATGCACAGCCACAGGCAGGCACAGTGCTTGAGAATAAAGTTTCGAATTAATTTCTACCTCACTTTGTGAAAATAATACCTCAAGTACATCTTCACGAAATGATACTGGAGTTTTCAGTGAATAATAGTGAGCCAGAGAGCAAAAATCTGAAACATCATTAGCTTCCAAATCAGCTGGCATATTGATCAGTGTCTCTACAATGGTACTTTTGTCTTCACTCTTCATCTGAAGTAACTGTTCTCTAGCATTTATTATCATTATAAGGCAAAGGAAAAATATGAAAAAGGGATCAGATCTCTGGAAGTACAGATCCCACATAAACAGAACTACATCCAGGCTACATATTCCTGCAAACAAGGACCTGAGCCATGACATGCAATACTGTTCTGGAGTTATTCTTTTAGTGTCCAAGAATGAGCACAACTCAGGGTCATGATATTGCAGTATCAACCTTAGTATGTGGAATGGGACACCATTCTTCGTGCACCCTTTAGGAATGTATAGTTTTATAATTTTCTCAAATAGATTGTAAGTATCAGACCTAGGCAACTTCAAGCTTAAAAGAGGCAGCAATATTTCAATCCAGCCATTCTTGGATGAATAATTGAGAGATTTGGATTTGCAGTAGAATGTGATGATGGACTCAATATCAGAAATAACAGCGAGTTTGTCATCATCATCATTTCCAAGTCTCTTCACAAACTTTTTGACATCATCCCTTAGTTCATTTTGGTTTGTCAGATCAAATATCTCGTCAAATAACAGCAACTGGTTACCAGCGTCCGCGCAGTTGAGGCACAGCAGCCACACATCGGGACGGAGACTCTCTGGGATCTTTTTGCCTTTCGTCAAACTGTTGATTTCTTGTGCCGTGCATCCATCCAGTAGTGCAGATTCTAACTCTATCAGCCTGCAACCAATACAACTTGTAAGAAACCAAGTGGTTAAATGTTTTAGCTAAAATGAGTATTCTTTTTAAACTAATTTCTTGTTCACCAGATTTGCTAATTAGGCAGAATAATTGGACTTCACCTTCACGGGTGTTATTCCATCTACATATGACCATGGAGTGTGCCAGACACTCCTTAAAACATTTAAGATATAAACCATTAATAGAAATAAATTGAAAACACCTTCAAAACAATAATTTTAGTAGATACAAGCTCGACATATAACATACAAATCTACAGAAATATGTAGGAGGAACATAAACAGATGGCAATAAACTATGTAATGTATTACAGCTAATTTTCGATTACTGTATCTTAAGGAAACATACCAAGTACTGTCGTCTTCCTCGCCTGCCATTGATAAGGTTGTGGTTCACTAGGACAGGTAATTAATATGATTAAATAGGTAACTGATAGTGATAAGAGGTGTGCAAACAATTCGTTGACATTTTCAGTGATACGGCGGACTATAAGATACTTACCGCTGTAAAATTGAGTAATCCTGATTTGGTTAAAACTGCATGCACTGCAAAGCAGCAAATATTCTTGTAATTTTGATATAAAACGCAATTTATTCACATTGATTTGTGTCGTTTTGTGTGCGAGATGTTGTCAAAAGTACGAATATTTAGCAAGAAAATTTCAACCATCGGATTGTTAAAATGAAACAGCGCTATACATGATTTAATATTTTTGTTTCCTCTTTTCATAAAAACTGTGCACGTAGTTCACTAAAAAAACCGTACACTGTTTTTTTTTTTACTAGTTTGCTTGCCATTGGTTGGTTTCTACACTCCGTGGTTATTACAGATTTGAAACCTATCTAGAAACAAATAGAGTTCAATTTTGTATGTACATCATGAATTGGCAGCCAATAGTTTGACAGAACCAGTGTTGACAGCCTAGCTGCATTGGAGCTGAGTTGACTATTTTTAACAAAGATTTTTAACAGCTCTTCTTACGGTCGCCTGTGGAGGCGGCTGTGGCATGGCGGGGTGATGCTGGATGGGATGTTGAGGTAGGAAAAGTCGCGGTAGGTAGGTACTTGGGGAGCAGTACCAGTGCCATCCATCTATCACTCACCGTAACCAGCATTGTATACAGGGTGTCAGGAATAGTATTACTTTCCTTTACAAGTGAAAATAAGAAATAGAAAAAATGTCATACATCGACCGGGAATCGAACCCGGGCCGCATGGGTAAACGCCCCACCGCTCTGCCACTGAGCTATGGTCGATGTATGTCATTTTTAGGGTTTCGTAGTCTACTTGAAACCCTTATAGTTTCGTCATGTCTGTCTGTCCGTCTGTCTGTCTGTCTGTCTGTCTGTCTGTCTGTCTGTCTGTCTGTATGCCGCGCCCTCATATCTTCGTCAGTTTTAGAGCTATCGACATGAAATTTGGTGAGAAGATAGATCGTGTTGACCCAAATATAGAAATGTTAAGAAAAAATTATATTAAATATTTTTTGGACCCCCTCCCATACAAGTGAAAGGGGGGCAAAAATTTTTTTTTCTTCTGTAATATTGAGTAGGATATCGTTGAATAGGTCTTTTAAAACTAAGATGAGGTTTCTTTGAAACAAAGTCACTAAAATGTTTCTGTCACGAGATATTTACTTTTAAAAAGGGCGTTTTTGACCCATAATTTGTTCCAGCTGTAACTTCTAAAGTATAAAAGCTAAAAATTTGAAATAAATATGGAATATAGCTTACAATCTGAAATTACAATGAAAACTATAACGGATATTGTACCCTTAAAGGTTTTCGAAAAAATTGAGTTTTTCTATTTGCGGTTGGTCATCATACTGCTGCTAACAAACCAGCAACAAATTAAGTTTGTAATGCTGAAAAACCTGATATTTAAACGTTGACTACGAAACCCTATTTATGGGCGTGTCTGACACGCTCTTGGCCGGTTTTTCTATTTCTTATTTTCACTTGTGAGAGTAATATAGCACTGTGAGTGCATTAAAATCCCAATAGATACTTTCCTTTAATTTAAACCGTTGTAAGTATTACAAAGTGTCTTGACCATGTTCAAAAAAATAATAAAAATATTTTAGATAAAACATAACTTATAAAACCACAGGAACTGTACAAAGTTATCCGAGCCGTTATTGACTGTAAACACAGACATTGTATAGCGGGCTGTGTTATAAGGTTAAGCAACTTAAATAAAAGTTTCTCAAAAATATTTTAATCTTGCAATATTTTGTAAAAACTGTTTGAACACGCTTAATACCTATAAATGTGATTTGAAGGATCGTACTAGTTACGTCGTATTTCGTTTTACTAGCAAAAATTCAGAACTAGCTTGTAGTGGTAGGAAGGAACAACTTTCCCCAAGGAACATTGAACTCCCGTAGTAACTCAAATCAGCTGATCGGCAATTTTGTATTGGAGGCTCAAATTATTTTTTCATATTTCTACCTATGTTCCGAGTGGAAAAATGTTCCTTATCTATCACCAATCACCAGTTGGTTCTGAGTTTTCTCCAGTGACTGCACTGGTAAAATTTCACCCAGTATGTATATTTATTGTCAGTTTTTTGATAATTTCGTATGCTGCTAACAGTTTTTAGCATGGAAAATCACAGTGACAATAGAATGTCGCTGGCATTACTATGGCCCATACTTGGGGCCCAGGTTGGGAATCAGTGGGATAAAGGAATCACTCCCCTTATGATTAAATCCTTTGTTTTTATCCCAATAATTCATTTTTGTAATACAGTGATGGCAACACTAAATTTGACATTTCGTTCCCTATTAGTTTGTTCAGCTAAAAATTGCCGATAGATTGGTTTTTTATTATTCTTGTAAAGTTGTGAGCTTTAAAAAAATGAATACCTGCGCACATAACTGGTTCAGCTGGTCCAGTCCGTCCACTCATTGACTGAAGAGACGGACGTGCATTTTTACGAGATATCTGTGAAACAGCGCCACCCAGCAAGCCGAACTAGAGCCGCTGAAAAACTCCGGCAACCAAAACTAATAGGCACCGCTACGTACGCCCATAACAACGATACTTATCGCCCAGTGGAGATTTATACAGTTCGCTGCTCGGCACAATGAAAATGAAGGACTGGAATAAACTGTTTCCAAATAAAGAGGCGTTCATAGTTTTCGCCTTGTACATCATATTATTTGTATTTCAAGGTGAGTTTGAACACGATTTCTTATTGTTTTTTTTTATTATTGTTATTGGGCTTGACCTCTGCTACTATTATTTTGAGGTCCTTATACATAGTTGAAAGTCTGGACACCTTATCTACATACTTGTTTTTAGATGCATAATGTTTTTAGACGAAGAATAATTTTGCATAAAAAATAATAACAATATTTATACTGAAAAGTACACTATGACCTACCTATTTTTAAAATTAATTATGTTTTACCAGTTGAAGTTTTAAACAAATTGATAACATTTTGGCATTAATGATAATTACTTCAAAAAATGAATACTTTAATTTTAGTTTGGCATTTTAACAAACTGTTTGGAACTCAATATTTAACTTTGGGGGGGGGGTGGATGGGACGCCTGCAATGCTCAGGCTCGCATGATGCTCTACTCGCTGGAAACATTTCACTAATTTTAACAAAGGCGGGTACTATCACCAGCTCTTTTACCTATCCATCCATATAAACATAGGTTTTTCAGGGACAACATACGGCGAGATCACATATATACAAAGTTCCCCAATAAAATATTGCAAATGAACATGCTTTTATACAATGTTGCAGGACAAAGTTCTCAACAAGAGTGCATCTTCATTGGCAACTTTTCAGGAACATTGTTCTGCAATATTTTATCAGATACAATGTCACAGAGATTTAGTCCCCAATGAATACCTGCCTTAAGGGATCAATTTATACTGTTTTTCTAGTATTTGTTTGAAAATTCAGTATACATTGGTCCCTTGGAAGATATTTGAATGACCTATTGTATAGGTATAGAGCTAGTAAGTTTTCACTTTCTTAAAACTGCCATATTATGGTTGTATTGTATTGTATGGCACAAAGGTGTATGCATTGTTGATTAGTTCCGTTCATTATTCTTCATATTTACGTCAACTTCTAACTCTGCTCTGTTAATTGTACTGTTGAACTTGCAAAGTTTTTCAGTAATAATATATTTTTCAAATCTATGATATATAAAGATAAACATCTACACTAATATCCAGTATATAGAAAAGATTATTTTGTTTGTATGTCATCAATAAACTCCGAAACTATTGCTCCGATCAGAAAGCTACAAAATCCCTGAGTGACATAAGATACTTTTCACCATGAGAAAATGTCTTATCTATCACCATGGGAAACCGTAAGCAGCGAGTGAAATGTGTTGCGAGTTATAAGTTGTCCTTCTGTTTGGGGACATAGGAAGGGTGATGATAGGAATCCATATTTAATTGAATGAAAACATAAAAAAATAATACTTTCGCATTTACATTTCATTTTATTGCCTAAGTTTTTTCTGTAAAACTTAGACCATAAAATTATTATTTGGCTTTATTAGTTTTGATAAAAAGAGGCTTTTAGAAAGGAATGAAATGTAGGTACACATTTTAGTTTAACATTTTGCAATAAAACTGTATTGGTTGGTAGGTAGGTAGGTACCAAGAAGGTACCAAATTATTCTCTTTATTATAACCATTAATAATACATACATATGGTACTATCTCCTTGTTTTCAGGTATTTTTGTGACTGCATCAAAAACTGGTGATGGAGGATATGCCTACAACACAACTTTGGTAGTGTTTTTGTCAGAGCTTCTCAAACTTATGGCGTCTGCATTCCTTTACACTTATCGAAGGGGGTAAGTGGTATATGTATAAGGTTACATTTAATTAAGTACAAATCTCTTCAGGGTGTTGTCTACTCACATAACTGAACAAATGATATTGGGACCTTTCTGACCCACCTAGCGAACATTGATGAAACATACGTAAATTATTAGATTTATCTAGGTATTTCCTAAATATGTTGTTTTTTTTCTAAAATTCCATGGGAAAGTCGAAATAATTATATTTTTCTATTTTAAGATTTTCATGGTATATAACGCTACTTTCAATAAAATTCTCTTTGTACTATACCTTTTAAATAAAAATACAGCTATGACACTATATGGATGTGGACAGGTGATGTCTACGTCAGACTGTGCTCGACAGCACCACCCAGAGCAGCCTATCTGGGTCTCAGAGCCTTCGGTTTATCCCTGGCAGCCATGACTCCGCCGTATGGCTCGAGTCGCTGGAGGCTCTTTTCGACGATAAAAGTCGCGTCCGCCCCCGTGATCAGGAACTTTCTGTCCTCTTCTAGGATGGCTACTCGTGCGCTCGTCTTGGGGCCGGTTGGTGCTTCGGCTTCTCCCCCTGAAGTGTGCCCTGAGGGGAGCCGACCACATTCAACGGACCCGTGGGTGACTCGGTGGGGTCGATCCATGCGGTCTGCGCTCGCACCTGTACGGCTGTGGCACTCTCCCTGAGAGCGTTCAGGTGTGCTGTAGGGCAAGCAGGTCGAAGTGCTTTTTGTCCCTCGGCTTACGCTGGGACAGCGGAGACGGCGAGGGAGAAGCAGGCAGCGGCGGTAGTGGGGGCGCGGCGGCGAAGGCAGTGGTTATCGCTGCTGCGGCGGCCGTCGGTGGCGAAGATACCAGCGGGGGTCTATTGATCCCAGCGTGAATGGCGTCGAGGGATGGCACAAGCCGCGAGTTCGTTCATAACGCGCTGCAAGGTGGCTTGCGGATTCGTGCGGACAAACATTCGCGACCCATTTGCGGGGCGCTGGTGGCCCTTGAAGGGCATTTTCGAAGCTGAATGTAATAAGAAGCCTAATAATAAGCGTGAAGCGTAGCCTGCCCTCGGGGTGCAAGACTCTGGAGTACCCCAGGTGAGACTCGCTGGCCGGGGTTACTTGTGCTCGACAGAGCCCTACATGACTACCGAAGGTAGGCGGGAACCGTAAACAAAATCTTCCGAACGCGAGAGCGACTAGGCGGCTAATCTGGAGTATAGTGTTAAGATATATATATTATTAAACTAGCTGCCCGTCAGCGGTTTCACCCGCTGCAACCTATTATTCCGCGGGAAAAAAGCTTTATTCGCCAAGAGATGTCGCTGTTAGTTTTCGGTGAAAACGTTTAAAACGCGAATCGGCTCAGTCACGCCACCTATTTCAAAAATATTGGAAAATGCGAGATCCCGTAGGAATGAGACATTTTTCCGTGGTAAAAAGTATCC